CAAAAGCATCAGAGTGTGTCCCTCCCTACAAACAGCGGTCAGGGACTAAGTCAGATATCTGGGAGGGAGACCTTCCATGGAGCCCTACTTTCCTCAAGAGATGCAAACCAGGGTGAGGAGAGTAATGTACAGCTTCAATGGAAAGGGAGACAGAGACATGAGGGCTGCTCTTGTGTTCTGTGGGTAAATTTCCTTTCAGATTTAACAGTATAAAGGGACTATATGCTCACAGAAATATAAAAAACAGGGAAATATAAAAAAGGAAAACATCATACAGTAAGTCTTCACTTACCATCACGGAAAGGTTCTGCCACTTGAAGGGAACCCAGTTTTACCCTAGGCTAATTGACATAAATCAGAGTTAAGTTCCTACAGCAACTCCTCAATGTTATAAAGAAACAATGTTATTGGAGGACCTGCTGTAAGGAACGCCCCCCCCCCCCCCATCTGAAGATGGCTGCTATTACCATTTTGTTATATATTTACCCAATTTTGTAGCTATTTGATAGACACTGTTATTACCACTAGTGGCTGCTATTTATTGAGTTCTCTTGTGATAGGTGTTGTTCTAAGTGCTTTACACATATTCGTTCATTTGTAGTAGGTGCTACTATCCCCATTTTATAGCAAGTAAAACCAAGGCTCAAGGAGGGTAGGATTTGCCCAAGTTTCTTCAGCTAGTGTGCAGTGGGGCCCAGGTGAGAACTTAGGAAGCCTGACCCCAAGCCCATGGTTTATACTGCTGCCATAAGACCCAGTTTTATTGAGAGAATTTTATACATATAATATTGTATTTGTTTAAGGTGTACAACCTGATTTCATATTTGTTTATATTGCAAAATGATCATCACAATAAGTGTAGTTAACATCTATAACTTCACATCGTTGCCTTTTTTTTTTTTTTTTTTTAACTTGTGATGAGAACTTTTACGATATACCCTCTTAGCAACTTTCAAATATATACTACAGTATTAACAGTCACCACACTGGACAGTACACACCCAGGATTTATTGATCTTGCAACTGGGAGTTTGCATCTCTGACCACCTTCACCATTTCTCCCACTCCTCATTTTCTATAGCCCACACCTTGTCATCAGGAATCTGAAGGTCACTGATGGTTTGGAGACAACAGATAAGAGTTCAGAAAGTGGGCAGAAAAAGCTTGAAAGGCAGCTACGGCTGTTGTAACATGTCAGCGAGATGACCAGAGACGCACAGCCGAATCGTAAAGGAGCACTTTATTACACCGGCGGGCTGGGGGGCTCTCCCCAAATGGACAGCCCAGAGCCTTCTTTGTTGGCTGCTTATATAGACACAAACTACAGAGAAAAAAGAAGAAAAGAAAAAATAGCTACATTCTTGGTGCCGCTTTTGGCACTGTTAAGAAGGGGGCTGATAGAAGGGGGTTAAGAGCAGCTGTGAGGTCAGGGCAACCATTAATTTCTTTTTTCTCCTGGTTCCTCTGAGTTTCCCAAGGCCTTCATTAACCCCTTATCATTATAGTTTTCTTTGGGTTTCTCAAGGCCCTTATGTTTACAAAAAAGAAACTGCCAGGGCGTGTACGTGCAGTAACTGAGGGTCAGAATGGAGTTATTACACGACATTGGCCCAACATCCAGCCTGTCTCCTGGTAGCCGGAAGGCCTGTGACTGGTTCTTTTCTCCTCCGGTGGCCCCAAAGCTCTAAGGCTCCAAACGGGAGGAAGAGGCTTCCTCCACCAGATGTAGCTCTGCCTGGCTCAAGCTCCACGCACATTTTCCTCCTGCCAAGTCCAGCTTCTCCAAAGCCAGGCCTTCCTGTTCCAAGTTGAAATGTTCCTCCCCGGAAGGCCAAGGTACACCTGACACCGGGAAAGAGGAACTGCTTTCCCAGGATCGCAAAAATGCATGTGGGGTCCCAGCTTAGCCAGAGCGCCCCAAGAATCCACCAAATGGGGCCTTGGAGTGTTATACCCCAATGTTTCACTCTTGATATAACATGAACACATTTTTCCAGCAAGGATTCTTTTACATCTTGATTTTTAATGACTAGACTGTATTCCACCATGTGGATATAGCAACATTTACCAAAGCAGATCCATTTGGCTTATATCCACTATTGACTACTATATTTATTTTATTATTAAAAAAATTTTTTTCTTTGTTGATTTTAGAGAGAGAGGAAGGGAAAGGAAGAGAAAGATAGAAACATCGACGACAGAGAACATCGACTGGCCGCCTCCTGCATGCCCCCTACTCGGGATTTGGCCCACAACCTGGAATTGGCCCTGACAGGAATCGAACTGGCGACCTCTTGGTGCATGGATGGATGCTCAACCACTGAGCCACACCAGCCGAGCTGACTACTATATTTTAAAGCTGTAATAAGCAACCATGTACGTGGCCAAAACACAGCACACTCCTTATTTCCTTAGAGAAATTCCTAAAAGTGAAATTACTGGCTAGACAGAACACGTGGTTTTAAGGATGTTGATGGAAACTCTCAAACTCCCCCCTATAGAAATATTCGATATTCTCCCCTCTAGCTTTTGTGAGAATGAATGACACGATTTAAAAAATTACTGGCTAGTGCTGAGAATCAGTGTATGAACAAAAACGCTCTTTAATAATTCCACCAATAGATGGCAGACTTTGCTAAGATTTTAGGGTCTTGGATTCCAGGTAAAGCATCTTAGGGTTTGATTCAATTTGCATCAGAAAAGTCAGATACATACATATCAAAGCAAATTCGCAGGAAGAAATCTTGGATATTATATGAAAATCAATCAACAGTGATGGCAAAACAGTGGGATCTTGGGGTCCTGTGAGATCTTAAAAATGCTCCTGGGATGTCATCACCCTTCCAGCTAAAAGATCTCCTGCCACTTTCCAAGAACCCAGCAGGGGAGGCACCAACATTCCAAGTACACATGCTTCTCTCCACCTCCCCTGTTAATTCTCACTGCAGGAAACCAGAATTAGATCATCCTGGTTCCCTCGGACCAGCTTTCTGGGCCCTTGTATACCCTTAGCTCATCACAGCTGTAATTTCAAACCTCCACGTGTGATTATTGGTTGTTTCTCTCTGTTGCTGGAGGTGGCATTTGCTGTTGTGTGTCTGGAGCTCAGTGCAGTGGCCAGCACAGGGGATACACCCTATAGGTGTCTGCTGTGTGCATCCTTGGGACCTGGCCTTAGAGCTTTGCTAACTGATGCCCCTTTCCTTGCTAAACCAAAACCTATTCTGAGATTTTCAAGTCTTAGCTGCTGGAAATGACAAAAACTTAACAACAGTCTGGAGGTGAATAAACCACAGGAAAAAGGGTGCCAGAATGACTAAAAGTACACTAGGTTCGGGGGTCATTAGAAGAATGTGCTTCCAGCTCACTTACTGGTCAAAATTACATCACTCCACTAAGCCTCAGTTTCCTCATCTACAAAATGGCTCTGATAATAGTACCTACTCTATCAAGTAAGAACTTGCACTCCAAGGCCTTAGCACAGTGCCTGGTACCCAATAAGGGCTCTGTAAGTTTGCTTGGCCATTGTACTCTAGCCTCCTGCCAAGCAGCACCCTCTGAAAGGACAGTGGGAGTGGGAAGAACAAGAGTGAAGAGATTGTTTTTTATTATCCCAAGCCACCAATTTAGACATCTTGCAAGTTAATATTTGTGTTGTGTGACCTCCCAGCTGCCAGTAGTATTTCAGTCGGTTCTAACATTGCAGATGAATGGCTGGTGGTGGTGTTCTATCTGGGTCCAGAAGGTCCAGAATGACATATCTTGGCTAAATTCCCCAAGACAGGATTCAAGTTCTTTTCCTGCTCACATGTCAAGTAAATCAGCAAGTATTTCAGATTCTTTCTTGCTTCCAGACCTGGAATGACTGACTGGTCATCCTGCACTCCCTCCCTGACTTCTGACCACACTCTGGCTACCTGGCAGCCCTCTTGCCTAAGGCACCTCTCACGTTCTTCAATGATAACAGGATAAAGTCCCTTCACCTGCAGCCCTCCTTTAAATTCCTTGAATTTGGAGGCACGGTTCTCAGGATGCTCCTTCGGGAATCCCCATTCTGTCAATTTACGGGAGCTTACTCAAATACTTGATTTCCCAAAGCCTGTGTCACTGCTTTTCCCAAAGCGCGAACGCTGCTCCGAATGCTGCTCTTTGGCCAAGAGATTCCCCTTGGGAATAAAAAGAGACTTTCTGCGTCTAGAGATGAGCTCAGTATATGGGTTCAACACGTCATCTTCTCAGAGCTCTGGCTCACTCTGCCCAGTGATTCAGTACCCAGGCCCCAGCTGCACCATGAGCTTCCCCCAGGAGGGGTCGTTCTGATGCTCTTCATACCTCCCACGTCCCCGGATGAGCAGACTCTGGGGGACTCTATTACCTCAAACCCTCGGGGACGTAAGCCTGCGACCCACCGGGCTTGGACGTCCTTGGGGAGCAGGAAAGCCTCTTCTGAGCCCCAGAATCACCCTAAATCCCACCCTTCCTGCGTGTTGGCCCCAGGCCGGCCCTACTACACTGTCTGCTCCCAGCCTGGGGCAAGAGTGGGGCGCCCCGACCGCCCAGTCGCATTCAGGCCCCTATGGGCAGCGGGGTCCACGGGTGCGCGTTTTGGGCTTCCGCGGGAGCAGGGCTGGGACAATGCGGGAACTCAAGAGAGCGAGCGAGGCCGGGCGCTCCACCCCCCGGACCACGTGGGGCCGAGCCTGTTCACTAAGCCGGGCGGGAAGTGGTTAGCCGACTGCACCTGCGCGAAGCTGGAAGGCGGAGCCTGGCGTGGGGGCTGGGCGGTGCCAGCGGCGCGGGGCGGGACGGGCGGCGATTCGAGCCGGGCGGGGTGAAGGCAGGTATAAGGAGGCGGTGCTAGGCACAGAGGCTGGGCGGGGCGAGGTGGGCCGGGGGCGGAGCCTAGAGGCGGGGCGGGGTCTGGCGTAGAAAAGCTGCTGCCGAGAGACCAGGGCGGTCCTGTCTGGCCGGCCGCGTGCGCCTCGTGTGTGCTCCGGACCTTGGCGAGGCGGTAGCATGGCGGGCGAGGGCCCGAAGAGGCGCGCGTCGGCGGCCCCTGCGGCGGCCGAGGAGGAGGAGCTGCAGGCCAGAGAACGGATGCTGGCGGCGAAGCGAACCGAGGGCGCGGAGGGCGCTGGGGGCGAGGGCGTGACCCTGCAGCGCAACATAACGCTGATCAACGGCGTTGCCATCATCGTGGGCACCATCATCGGCTCGGGCATCTTCGTGACGCCCACCGGAGTGCTCAAGGAGGCGGGCTCTCCCGGGCTGGCGCTGGTGATTTGGGCCGTGTGTGGTGTCTTCTCGATCGTGGGCGCCCTCTGTTATGCTGAACTGGGCACCACCATCTCCAAATCGGGCGGTGACTATGCCTACATGCTCGAGGTCTACGGCTCGCTGCCCGCCTTCCTCAAGCTCTGGATCGAGCTGCTCATCATCCGGCCCTCCTCGCAGTACATCGTGGCGCTCGTCTTCGCCACCTACCTGCTCAAACCGCTCTTCCCTACCTGCCCGGTGCCCGAGGAGGCCGCTAAGCTCGTGGCCTGCCTCTGCGTGCGTGAGTACCAGCGAGGGCCCGGCCTGGGTGGGGTGGAGGGCCCCCGCCATCCCTCATCTCCCGACCGTTCTCGCACCCCCGGCCATCTTCGTATCCCGTCCAACCCCGCACCCCTCGGCCATCATGTCCCTGGGCTATTTCGCATTCCCAGGCCATCCCCGCGGCTCTAGGCTAAGGTCTGGAACCCACGTGTGTCTCATTCATTCATTTACACATCACCTTGGAAATTCCGCAGTGACTGGACAGCGGGGTTCCTGCCCCCAGCCTCTTGTGGGCGTTCCACGTCCCCACCTGGACCATTCCTTTCCGTTGGAGCTGAGCAATATTCCTTCTCTTGCAAGACACCCACGTGGAGCAAAACGCGAATTTCCTGTTTGAGCTCTCAGTGCTGTTTATGGAGGCGAATGGCGGTTTAAAAAAACGTTCATTCATTTTGTCTTCTCCAAACTGGTTTATTAGGAATCAGTAGAGACTGACTCATACAAAAAAAAAAAACTGTAATACAATTCTGTGTAAGCAGAAGTGTTGAATCCCCTGAAGATTGCCTTAAGTAGTAAAAAAAAGAAAGGGTGTTTGTAGATTAAGTTTGTGTGTATTGGGGTGGATTTGGGGGCCTCAAGTTGTACTGAGAACCATTGGCCATAGTCCTAATGTTGGTGGGGAACGTGCTGGTGTATTGGAAGACACAGTCCTAATGTGTTGGTGGACAGGGTGTTAGTATGTTGGTGGGCATGGTCCAGGTGTGTTGGTGGGCTTGGTCCCAGTGTGTTGGTGGACGCATGTTATATAACATTTTCTGGGGACCAGAGACCAAAGAAGGGCTGAGGACATCATTACATTGAGAGTTTATTAAAGGAACTTACATAGGAGGCACATCTGGACATTGGCAAGACAGCATGGCTGTCATATGTGCCACGTGTCAGGGCCTAAAGAATTATGTAGGACAGAGCAGGGTGGAAAGGGGTAGTGGGGTGTGCTCAAGGAGGCGGGCTCTCCTTGATAGGGGGAAAACACCTTTTTACATACTTGCCCAGGGCAGGGCAAGGACCTGTTCCAGGAACCAGCACATTTGGGGCATAGGAAGGGATTGGACAGTCTCTGCGGGGATTTATGGGAAGTAATCTGTTCTGGCCGCAGTCAGGCTGCCATCCCCTTCATGGAACAGTCTCTCCTCCACACTACAGTGTTAGTATGTTGGTAGGCATGGTCCTGGTATGTTGGTAGGCATGTTCTTTGGATGTTCTTCATCTAAGAGTGAAACAGGCCAGAGAAAAGTGCTGCTTTGCAAAACAGTTTTCTCATGGGGTTTCAGGGGTGGGGGTGAACCAAATGTAATGTGATTTTCTTTTTAGCTGCGGGCAGTTGGTCCACCTATCCCTTGGCCAACCTCTAGGGAGGCTTGCAAGATGGAAGCATCCTGCTTTCAGAGCTACCACCCTGAGGATTGCCCGAATCTGTTGTGCGTATAAGTACAGAGAGAGGAGGGTCCATTCATGGTTTCAGGTCTGAGAGGTGAAACTCAGGGACTGTGCAATTAGTTGAAGTGGCTTCCTGCTGGTCTTGTTGGCCTTGTGGAGTATGTGGACTGGGTTTCCTGCATCAGTGTCACTGTGCAGTGAGGGCTGGTATTTTAGAACTCCAAGACATGCCCCGGAAAGTGGCGTATCCAGAAGGCAGAACTCAGTGTAGCTCTGTTTGGCTGCTGAGATCCTGAGACACTCTGAACAGGCAGGAAGTCACGCAGGATGAAGGGACAGTATTTGCCTTTTGGGGGGGTGAGGTCTCAGTGATATGGATCTCAGCTTTACAAACTGTGGTCTAGCATCGCCAGTGTGGTTCAGTGGATTGAGCATCCTTCCATGGACTGAGAGGTCTTGGTTCGATTCCTAGTCAGGGCACATGCTTGGGTTGCGAGCTCTATCTCCAGTAGGGGGTGTGCAGGAGGCAGCTGATCGATGTTTCTCTCACACCGAAGTTTCTATCTCTCTCTCTAAAAAATCAATTAAAACATACTTAAAAAACCAAACAAACAAAAACTTTGGTCTAAATCTAGGAATAGTCTTAGCAATAGTCTATGTGCCTGAAATAGGAACACCTCTGGCTTCTGGTGGGCTTTGAGATGAGGGTTTTATGGGATGATGCATTGGGCTGGCTAAGGAAAAGCCCCTCTAAAGGCAAGATGACTTTGTTGGGTTGTTTTGTCATTAGGAAAATTTTAATTGTCCAATTTTCATAATTGCTAGATATTATATTATGTTTGGGCCCAGAATGTATGTAATGAAATAGATAGTATCTTTAAAGGGCCCCCTCTCTAGTCTTTAAAAATGGATCCCTTGCCCTGGCCAGTTTTGCTCAGTGGTTAGAGCATCGGCCCACTGACCAGAGAGGCCCAGGTTCGGTTCCTGTTAAGGGCACGTACCTCGGTTGCAGTTTGTCCCTGGTCCCTGTTGGGGTTGTGTGGGTGGCGACCACTCGATGTGTCTTTCTCACATAGATATTTCTCTCTCTCTCTCTTCTTCCTTCTCTCCCTCCCACTCTGTATCTCAAGATAAAGTGCAAAAATGTCCTTGGGTGAGGATTAAAAAAAAAAAAAGGATCCCTTACTTTTTTTAACTTTCAGGTTTACATAAGTAAATCCTTAGATAGAGTCTAGAGGGCTACAGCGGATATGCTGCGGCCACTGCTGTTCTGGCGTTGTGAGCCCAGTGGGGCAGGTCATGCCAATAGCACCCATTTTGGTAGGGGGTGAGGGTGACTTTTTTCCACGTGTTGATCAGCTTTCGTAGCTCTTTTTCTTTGACCCTCCTGTGTGAATGTGTGATGCACGTGTGTGTATGTGTGTGGCTTTCTCTGATGGAAAGGGGATTTTCAGTAACACAGAGGGATGTGCCGTCTGCAAAAGCAAGCGTAGTTTAGAGCCTTACTTGGTCTGCAGAGACACACGGGCTTGTCCAAGGCTGACAGAACTCTGCTGGACTGGCATGGCTGTTCTCATCCAATAGAGTCAAATCTTGGTTCTCGAAAGTCTCCCATCTTGAACAACTAGGTTCTCAGCCAAGTTGTCTGGGCCAAGTTGTTCAGGAAAAAGTCTCCATTTTCTAACAAAACTTCAGTTCTTGACCTGACAACCCTTTTGAGCTGATACATCAGCATGACAAAAAGCATCCCTCAGGCCATAAAGGAGAGATCGAGTCCTTCTCCTTGACTGTGCTGTGAATCTATTCTTTCTTTTTTGGCTGGTGAAATGGGTGTTTTGTACAATTTTAAAACCTAAAGAGGCCATGTGGTGTGCTGATGTTTGCTAAGGGTGTGAACGTGCTCACGAAACAACAATCCCGGGCAGTTGGAGAGGTAGAAACACTATTGTTGATTTGGATACACAAAAAGCAGTTGGCCTGTGACAGCATTTGGGGGTGCAGTGATGTATGAAAAAGTGAAGATGCTGCACCCCTGGAACGAATACTAAAAGTGATTCGTTTAAGGCTGATTGGGATGGTTTGATGAGTTTAAGAAAATACGTGTTTGTTTGTTTGTTTGTTTTGTTAATCCTCACCCAGGGATATTTTTTCCATTCATTTTTTTTTTTCTTTTTTAGAGAGAGTGAAAGAGAGGGAGGGAGGGGAGAGAGAGAAGAAACATCGATGTGAAAGAGACACATCAATTGGTTGCCTCCCACCTGAGCCCTGACCCAGGCCGGGGATCAAACCTGTAACCCAGGTACAGGCCCTTGACTGGGAATCGAACCCGTGACCCTTCAGTGCGCAGGCCGACGCTCTAATCACTGAGCCTCTCTGGCCAAGACAAGAAGTGTTTGTTTGAGGATTGAACAGTACATTAGACATGTACTGTATCAGGAAGGTTAAAGCGGAATCAGTTCGGGATCTGGAACAGATTAATTCAATTTACATGATTTCTAATGGGGAAAAAAATGATTGAGTTTTGGAACAAATCGTGTTTCGAACAGTCTTCGGGAATGAATTCAAGAACCAAGGTGCCACTAGACAGTGCAAGGTTCTGGTTGTCCAAGGAGGGTGCTTCTGAGAAGTCAGTGGAAGTTCCCACAGAAACTTCCCTGGGCTCTTTAATTATCCCACGAAAGCGGGTTTCTAGACTTTTTTCTTGAGTAGAGAAAGGGTGTTCTGTCTGCACCGCTTTCTTCCTTGAGCCCATCCCTGCGGGCGTGTTCCCCCCGGGGTGGCTTTCTTTCTGCGGGGTGTCCCCTCCAAGGGCCCTGGGACCCTTTCCAGGGTGTCCTGGATTCTGGAGCGCAGTTTCCACTCGGCTGGTGGATCTGTTCAGTCCCCTGCGCACATCCCACAACGGTTTCCTTCCGCTTGTTAAAAATTGTGCCGTGAAGTGGTTTGGCTTTGGTGCTTGGAGTGATCCTGGGGACAGTATCAATGGGGGGGGATCTTGTAGGTCTGGCGTAGAAATGATGAGATGAGACAGCCCCCTTCACAGCATGGCTCTGGTGTTCTCACCGTCTTAGTGAGTCAACATGGTGAGAAGCTAGCTCTGCAAGGCTTTCTTGATGGCCATGTGGAATTTGATACAAGGCAAGGTTTCCTCTGGTTATTTGTTGCTTAATGAAAACTTGTTAGTGGTTGCCGAAGTCAGGTGAGTCCGGGTTCTCTGTGTGACAGTCACTCACTCGGATTGGAGTGGAGTTCTCTCCAGTTGGACTTGCCTGGGGCAGTGTATCCTTCCCTCCGGGCCCGTGGAGGGTCTTGTGTGTGAGGGCAGCTGTGGTTCAGAAACTCAGCGGTGGTCTCATTGGCACTTTATTTCAAGGGAGAAGCTCTCAGAAGGGATCTGAATGGGTCCACTTCTCCCTAGGCCGAGTTGTGAAAAGACTTGGAGCCTGTCTGAGTCGTGGTCACCCTACCCAGGATGTGTAGGTGTTAGGGAATTGGCTGCCGAAGACCACTGGTTGCCCACCCTCCTCCTTCCCTGTCGTCATGGAGATGGACAAGGTGGCCCAGGCTCCCCTACACTGAGTT